ATTCTCTAACTGTAATGTAAAAATTTTTGCACTTAATTTAAAGCCGTTTTTCTGTATAAACTAACAGTTTTTGGATACTTTTTATTAATATCTTGTGTAAAAAAAACTGCTAAATTATAAAGTGGTGTATAATAGACGAGACGATAACTTTATAGGGACAATTAATTTCATGCACTTTCGGTAATCCCAAGCTCTAGGAAGATTACCATCACTACACGATAAATACCTGTAAGTATTAATTGATATTAAACCTTCTTTTTCCATCTCACTAAAAGATCATGGAGATTGGAAGATTGGAAATTATACTATTTGTAGGTCGTTTTTTACCAAAATGTAAGTATCTCTATCTTTAAAAATGTTTTCAACCTCCTCTAAATATTTGTCTTTATCTAACGCCACCGTAATATTTCCTTGTCAGCCTTGCGATAATAAAATTCGGGTTTTCATCCAAAAATTTTTAGTGTTTACACTCAACTCTAATAAGATTTTATTAAAACCGTTATCTGGATATCAGTATTGATTAATCGCATTCACCACAATCTTAGATTTTTTACTAACAAAAACTCTTTATCAGGAGGCAGTTTTTTTAGATTATTTTCAAAATATTTTATGAAATATAGTTAATTGTACCCTACTATTATTCGGGAGACTAAAGTTTTCACCTAATTAAGCATACTAATTATATTGTCATCTAATATGTGCATACTAATTATATTGGTATCTTAGTATTAGATAAATTAATAAACCAATTATTATTATTTTTAAAAAATTCGGATTAGAATCTGAAAAGAATTAGGATCGACATTTACTTCAAATTCTTCTCGTTTATCATTTAACTCTTGTTGTTTATTGATAATTTTATGTTTTTTTAACTAAGATGTATAATTTAATTTTTGTAGCTTGAAAAGGACCCAATTCGGGGTCGAAACGTTGTCTTTTTTAATAAAAGATTTTTTACCTTAGCCAGTGTCGGTCAATCAATTCTTTTTATATATTTCAAAATTTCAACTGGCAATCGGATCACTTTTCTGTTAATGTTTTATATAGATAACTTGTGAAATTAAAATGTGAATTACATAAGAAAAATGGGAAAAAGGGAAAGGGGAACGAGACAGAGGGAGTGAGAGAGGGGAGAGAGGAGAGGAGAGAGAGAGAGAGAGGCGGGAGGGAGAAGAAAGAGAGAGAGAAAAGAGAGAGAGAGGGGGGAGTGGAGAAGAGAAAAGGAGAGAAGAAAGAGAGAAATTGTGTCATGTGATTTATTGTAACTTATAAATAAAAATCAATCTTATATAATAACATATTAAATGTAAAAATTTTTATTTTTTGAATATGTATGGCACATATAATTAAAATTAATTTTTATATAACGTTAACATATTATTAATTCTTATTGTTATACAAAAATTATTGTTCTATATATATACGTACATTAATATTATAATATATTAATTTATAATATTATAATACATTTAATATATAATATGAGTTGTATATATATATATATAATACACGTAATATATAATATATAGTATTACTATAATACACACACACACACACACACACACACACACATTCATACGCATATATACATGTACAATTTAAATAATAAAGAATTTAATAGTACGTATAAAATATAAATATGTTGGCTATAAATGTTTATAATAAGTAAATAATTAATATATGGTGTCTATGTTGCGCGTACGTGCGCGCGTTCGTGCCTACGTGCGTGCATGCTTGTGTGTGCGTGCGCGCGCGCGTAAACGTATAATTTTTTTATTATAGAAAAAAATTAAAAACAAATCAATATATAATACAAAATAAATAGATAGTACATTTAGGTGCATTCATCATTTTACAATCATATTTATATATTTATATATAACATTTTTATATTATTATTTTTATATTTGTATATTATATTCAACAGTAAAATTTATTATAATATTATATAGCTGTATAGTATTATTGATGCATGCAGTCATAAAGTTTGTAAATACAGAAGCATTTAATAGTAATACATTTAAATAAACAATAATTAAAGCAGTAAAAAAATAATGCATACAATATAAAAAAGTGTTCATATAATGGTATGTCCGTATGCAAAGCTGCAATTTTTTTACATCCACCATTGTGTCTGTGTCTCTCTTTTGATTTGTTTCTTGCGAATTAATACTTTGCTCTTAATTTTGTCCAAATTCTCTATTATGGAATCCTAATATATTTAAACAAAGATTTATACAATGAAATCAATATACCGTTTATATAATAAACAAAACAAATATAAATTAATATTCAGAAATTGATAAAATAGAAAACAATATTTCTTTTTCTTTCGCTTTCCATAATAATATTTATTAAATTTACCTTTAATTGATGTTTTTCAGTAAATCTTCTGTGTTATTCATTTTATGAAACGTGCCTGCAAATGTCGTGTACCATGTTTCGACGTATTCCTTTATTAGCTAAAATGTATTATTTTTTGAACATTATTAATAAATAACGTTGTTATAACTTATGAAAATTATTATAAACATTATATAATAATTATAATAACGCATTATTATCACGTTTTGTATACATATATAAACATGTAAAATTTTTACCTCAGTTTGATTTACAAAATATACGTTGTTAATAATAATAATAAATACTGCAGGTATCATATCACTACTAAAAGCGATAAAACAGATGTATAATAATACACATAATAAACTTTTGTACACAATATTTATAAAAATAGCCACATTACCTTGGTTTTATTTTTTGAAAATTGTTTAATATGTACTGCAGTGTAATTTGATTCTTCGCATGCTTCGTAATAATATTAATATAAAAAAAACTGTTAAAAAGATATTGATAGTTTTCCTATAATTGTTGGTAATAGTATATTAGATTGTTTAAATAATTATTGATGACATCAGTATCTTCAGAGCAAGCCAAGTATTCTAAAAATTTAGTGTCAGATTTATTCAATCCTACATCATACACTGATTGCCAAATGATTTTTTCGTTGATTATCATGAAACCGTTACAATATGTCCATTCCTTCCACCATGGCAAAAGTCTAAAATATAAAAAAAATAATTTTCTTATTAAAATTTAGCATATGGACCTTTTGATCAAATTATTTAAACATTATAGGCGATACCTACAAGAATGATTAAGAAAGCTAAAGATATATAACAATATTTACTTGTGCTTTATAGAATTTTGTAGATGTTGTACTAATTTATTGTTGGCTTCTGTCTTACATTTGAAGTCGCCGAGAAAACATGCCCATCTTGCAGCTTCTTGTCGTAAACATTTTCTAAGGTCGTCACTATCATCAATTTCTTCATATTTGATTCTTTTAAGTACCTCGTTTAATGCATGGTTTATGTAATTCTAAAAATCGTTAAATATATTTCTTTATTCATATTATAAATGTATTTAAAAATTATTAAAATTTCAAAAGATTAAAATAAAGGCGCTAATAAAATTATAAATGATTTATTAAAGTTTGATCGAACTGGTCAATACAAATCGTATCACGCATAACATTTTGGCATTTAGGTACGAGCCTTTATCAAGTGGTGCTTTCAAGATGTTAAAGTGAAAGACATGATATTGAGTAATATACTTGATAAGGGCTCGTATCCAAGGGTCGAAACGTTGTGTGTAATACGATTTGTATTGACTAGTCAGATCGAACTTTAATAAATTATTTATAAAAATTTTTATATTTTTCTATTATTTACTAATATATTCTTAAAATATTCTCTTTCTTTAAGACAAACATACATACAAATTTACTTATAGACGCGAGCGTTTATTTATGCACGTACATACGTTCAAATATACATACATATATGGAAAAATATGCTTTAATTTATGCAAAATATTTATAATATTTCAAAGATATAATTAAAGCACATTTTTTGCGACGTATAATATATGTAAAATTTTATCGTTGCGGTATTTTTTTGAATATTTAAATTTTTGTAATTATTAAGTGTATATGCAAATATCTGAAATATAATACTTTTAATAATATTTATTAAAATTTACCTTAAAAGTCCACATTTTAACTTGCATCATGGCTACAGAAAAAGTGCTAAATATGTATTCCAGAGCTTTAAACATAGGATACCATGCTATATAATCTTCTTCTCGATGCAAATACGATATTACATCTATGAATATAATGAATTTGAGTTCTCCTGCTATATTTTTTGGAAAACTATAAACGACATTTAAGTTAGCATTTTTAAGTGACCTTTTAATACTGTCGCTAACGTCTTTAACATGGAAGTGAAATCACATAATTCTTATCTCGAGTCGAATTTGCATTGTCGTTATTATCCAAATCATTATTCAAATTATCGTATTATCCGCATTGTGACGGTTAACATTCCTATTATTATTTTACGTTAATTTTTTTATTTACATATTTATTAATAATACGATCCGGAAATCAATTATTAATTAAAATGTTCTTTACAATCTCAATATTTGTATTATGAAATTGTTCGTTTGAAAGTAAAATTGCATAGTCTACTAAATTTATAAATCGTATTAATTTTATACTTAATAGGATGACTCGTATAAGTATAAAATTAATACGATTTATAATTTAGTAGACCATGCAATTTTACTTTCAAACGAACAATTTAAATTTAGTCGTTGACGAAACATCATAGCGATGGACGTGTTTTCTTTTAACTATCAATTTTAAATAAGATCGGTTTATGCGTTAATTCATTTTAATTGATGGGTAGGTTTCTGTTTGTGGTCATAACTCAACATTTATATGTTCTTGTATGTTTCAACATTGTTAAAAACTATTGTGTAATATTGTGTTATAGAAGTTTCACTTGATAAGGACCACAACCATATAGTCGAAACGTCGTGAAAGTATTGAATAAAATTGCTAGTTACGTCGAAATCAATTTTGCCAAAATTATATCTTATATTGAATTACTTACGTGTTATTTATATATAAGCGAATGCTTTTCCAAAATATTCTTTGGTGAAGGCGTGTTCCATCATGCGGATTAAAAAAGGTGCTACGATTTATATCAAAATGATAAATTAGTTATATTATATTATAAATACATATTTATTATAATGGTTACTTGTAAACAAAGCAATTTATAAAAAGAAGAAGAAACTATATATATCTTATACAAGGTAGTAATCGCGTAAGAGTGAAATGTCTTTTAATGCAGTACTGATTATCATTCTATTTTTTAAGTAATTTTTCAATAATTCTCACGAAGATAGCAAAACATTAAAGGACTATACGGTTAATCCCATCTACTTACACATGTACAGTTATTACTGGACATGTTTGTGAGTGTTGTGTGTGTGTGCGTGTATACTTTTACAAGAATAATATTTAATTCAAATCCGGATAAAATATTACTTATCTTCTAACTTTAAACATATTTTAAAATATTAATAATTAAAAATTTACGCGGACTATTTTATTATAATACGTATACCTCTGATAGAATGGGAATTTCCAATGAACTGTTAACTTGTGAAGTAGAAGGCCACATATGATAATCACAGTCTAAATTAAAAGAGTAATGTTGATTTTGAACAACAAATAAATTTATTATTTGATAATCTGAATAAGCCTATAAGAAAAAATAATTAATATATTCATATAACTGTTCTGAATATACTTGCATTAAAAACAAATACTAATATTATTAACATTACTTAATTGTTGAAACAAAACACTTTCTCAATTTGAAATACACATTAAAATATATTTAATAATAAAATCTAAAATTTTGTATTAATATAATTAGGAAATATTACAAACTCTTCAATTATTGTCTCATGATATTGCAGACTTCTCTTTATCAAATTTATTTAAATAAATGTCATGGGTACTTGTTTTTGATTAATTTATTTTATTTTAGATTTTATAAAAATTTAAAAATATAAAGTAATGTTAAAAATTTTTTGAATTAAATTATTGTATAATTATGTGTATGTAAATATATGAAAAAAGTATTTTTTAAAAAACATATGATTATTTTATATATTGCTAAATGTTTTTAAAACAATTCACAAAGAATGTGTATGAATATTGTAAAAAAGGTTTGATTTAAGAAAATCTTGCAATGTATGAATGCATAAGTATTGTATCGTTTGCGAGAAGGTGGGAGCGAGATAGCGTTGATAATATTTAGAATAACCTCATTGACAGCATACGTTGCAAGCAATGTAATAAGACCCTTTCTAAACCAAAAATCTGACACTAACGAATTGTTCATCATGTTATTAAACCATTGTTGTGTCACCTTACGTCCTACTAATTGAGCTACTTCGATTTGTGAGAAACAGGATATAAATTTGTATCGTAGATAATATCTGTTTCCCTGAAAGTTATATTTAAATGTTAAGACTGAAAACTTTTATAGAAAATAAAACTTTATTTTTGTTACAATATTATAATTTTATTGTTAAATACTCGATTTACAAATTCATGGGTACAATTTAGCAAATCGGTGTTGTAAATCGTAACCAAACAATTATTTTTAACATTTAATTTACAAATGAAACAACGATAAATATCTATTAATATGTATATCGTTGACAAAGAATAATAGTTTGAAATAAATAAAAAAGTGTCATTTCTTTTATAACTTGAATGCAGTATAACATCTATCTTACGGGATATGATTCAGCATATACATACTTTATGTACTTTATGTACGTATTAACAGAGTGAACGTTAATTTTTTAATAATACACATATGAATAAACTTAGTTCTACTAAAATTGTTTTCGTAAAATTCCTTATAATTTTGAACGTTTACGGGAACAAAAGATATACTTACTTTTAAGTTTTATAATTTTATTTATTAATATCATTTTATTTTTAATGTAATAATAAGTTTTTGTACTCACCTATAAAGAACAAGTCCGAAAATTATTGTGCCTTTGTCATGGAAATTTGGAATTGCAACATGATCCACTTTCGAAATATTGTTCGAATGTTTCCATTTATCATTTAAAAACAACATGATATTTTCAATTACATTTTTTGCATATTCCATGTGAACTTCAAATCTGCACCACATTTTAATGTTGCGAGTATGTATATCAATAGGATTTAGGTAATTAGACACAATTATTGTTGCGTATTCAGTCCACATTACAGGTGTGGTATCGTAGTGTCTCCATACCATATTGTGCTCATCAAATTTCATACTTCGCAATGGCATATTTGACAATGCCGTGCATTGATGACATCCTATCGTAATGTTAAAGGTTGCTTCTAACAAAAAATCCTGTTGATGCCAAGATGGAAATGATTGTTGGTCGCTTATTATCTGGAAATGCAGACCACCTACCCAACTACATTTCAAAGGACATAAATTAATGAAACTGTTTTGACAAGCATCAAAATATTGGGAATTAGAAAATGAATAAATGTATTATGCGTTCACACATATTATATTTTATGACTCTATTACATATTATTATAGTAATAAATATAAAGATTGTTCCATTTAGATTTAAATTCCGCGATATATAATACCTTTTGGGACATTTCATACATAAATAGTATATTAATTACAATGTCTTATGTGTAAATGCATATTGTACTCTTTTTAATAAACATTTATTATTTACTTACGTAGTTTTCTCTTTCACGTCAAAAATTTTAAAAACTTCATCAGCAGTACCATAATATTTTATGTTTAAGATGTAATTTCCTGGTGATAACTCATCCATAAAAAAAATATCAATTTTGTTTTCTTCAGTATTATATGTCGATTTATAAACTGTATCTTTATCATTCTCATGATATCTTTTAAAATTTTTAATTAGAACTATATCTTTAATACCAAAATGTTTTGAATATAAATATATGTGTTTTGTTCTGCCAAGAATGTAGATGCTGATATTGTATTCCCCATAGAAAATATTTCCTTCAATAAATGTTGAAAGCATGATATCGTAATGCTTTGGTATTACATTTTTTGATGGTTGATAGTTTAAAGATTCTTTACGAATGGAAGCCGTTGCAGCAATAAATATTAATCCACTACTTAATAATAGTTTTAGAAATATCATCTTGTCGGAGAAAAAGAAAATTTATTTTAGATCTGGAAAACACTCTGGAAAAAAGAGAAATAAAAATATTAAATATATTGATGTATTTTTAAATGATTTTTGTATATAAATAAGAAATAAATACAAAAAGTATTAAAATTATTAATTGAACAACCTTTCTAATTAGCAAAATATTATATGGTGAGGAAGTAATGTGCAAATTTCCATTTGCACAATTTTTTAAATATAATTATATATATATATATATATATATATATATATTATATGTATTTCAATGTTGCACATATTGTAACTGACAGCAATATAGAAATATTTACAACATATTTTATATTTTCTTTAAATAATTATTTTTATTGTCAAAAAATTATATACATTTATTTATAGAATGTTATTTAGAATATAAAGATTTATAGTATCTAAAGTTAGTTGTCTGAAATAAATTAATTTTATAAACACAATTGCCGTTGTTTCTACATACATATATACGTGTGTGTACATTCAAAATAAAGAAGACAGTAGAAAAAAGAAAAACTGTGGAACGGCGCGAGCCAATATAAATTCAATTATAAATTGAATCAGTTATAAACTTGATAATAAATATTAAATACATGTATACAAGACGTCTCAGAACTAGCAGTAAATATTTTGAAAGCAGATATCTGAGATTATTTGGAGACAAATTTTCCTCCAAAAATGTTGACATATCAATAATTCTCGGGTCATAAGGGAATGAAAATAAATGTTTTTTGCTAACCAAGCCTTTTAGAAATAAAATATTAACAAAATCACATTTATCACTGAATTTCAAATAGAGTTTACTTTTTTAGAATTTTAATATAAGGTTTAATTACTAACAATAAGATGCATGATGGCAAATTTGGAAACATGCAAATAATGATAGTCTCCCTCGGCATTCTCGGCGAAGAAAAATTGACTCCAAATAATTTCAAAAATCTACTATTAACAAGTTGAATACTATTTTTGAGACATCCTGTATATAAAGTGGTCTTTTTCAGATATTTCAGATTAAACACCTCAAAATATAGATACGTGTTAACGACTGCTTCAAATCTAGAATATTATGGATTTCTACATTTCATTGACAATTAATACGTTCTATCATTTTACTCTATAATTTTTGTTCATATCAATTGTTGGTTCAAGGTAATTTCAACATTACAATTAAATCATTACATTTAATTTACATATCTGAAAACTTTTAGCTTTAATGGTATCTTATTAAATCTATATGAACTATTTGTTATGCGTTATCAATTGAATATTAACATGCGTTTTGTACGTTTTATATTATAGAACAACATTACAATTCGTAAAATATAATATTGATATTATATGAAATTATCTCTGAATTAAAATTTAAAGATAATTTTAAATAAAATTATTCTCTTCATGCTTTTATGTTGGAAATTCTTTAAAATTCCGTTAAACTGTATGATTAAATTCTTTTTGTATTTGTGGACAAATATATGTTTTTATATTTTCGACTTATTTTGACTTACCCAATATTTCGGGACAGTGCGTTAATTGCGATAGTATATTGATATAAATGTTTTTTAATTAACTGTAACAAATTAATATTTTAGCAGTATGCAAATGTGGAAACAATATAAAATTTTCACACACACTTTATTACAATTATTATATCTATCACGATATGGTTCGAAAGACCACGAAAGATCACGAAAGACTGACTGAGTCTGTATACGTGTCATCATGGTAAACATGATGATAGGTCAGAACTTCTGAGATCGTTATAAATCAGTGGCGTAGCTACCACCTAGGAAGCCCGGACACGTCCCAGGGACTCCTAATTATCCAATAGCTTGATTCTTGAATTTACAAAAATGTTGCAAGTTGATTAGCTAAAAACGAAGCAATTTGCAACTTTTTTATAAAAGCCGAATTTGCGTATGTTTTTTTCTTGCGAATGAATTCAAAAATTGAGTTCTACCTAGAGCTGCTAACATGCTATTTAAAATGTAAAAAAAATTTATTTTTTGTAAAAAGAGTTAAATAATGAAAAAAAAAAAAAAATACAAAAAATATATTTAGAAAAATAAAAAATACAAAAAATGCATAAAACATGTTTTCTACTACAATGTTTTATTTATTTAAAATTACTAACATGTAGTACTTATTACAACTAATTTAATTGCATTGACAAAGATTTGAAGCACTTATAACTATATAGCCAACAATGACATACAGGATGTCCCAAAAAGATTGGACCCCTTAAAAATCTCGAAAAATATACGTGTTACATAAGAAAGTTTCAGACAATAGTTGTAGGGTTTAAAAAAATCTATTTATTGATCTTATCTGTTTGACCTTGGGTGGCGTTGCCAAGGTTAGAATTAGGTCACCTTGAATTTCTTAAATAAAAACATATATTTTTATTACATATTTTTGTAGCTTATTTCGAGAGATTTTCAAAACACTATAATTAAGTTATTTTTTATACGGTGCTTTCCGAGTTTTTAAACATTTTGTGATGAATGAAAGTATTGTATATCTGAAATGTAACACATTCATTGAAATATAAAAATATTCACCCTAAAATACCAAACTTTTCCTTCCAGCATGGTTACAGGTAAAGTACTAAATATGTATTCCAGAGCTTTAAACAGAGAATATCATGCTATATAATCTTATTCTTCAGGCAAATGCGATATGATTTTCCAAAATATAGAGTTAGTTTGCTCTCATTAAATGAAATGCATCATTGATAATTTGGGCACAATTGAGAACACGAATTTTTGTGTAATTATCAGAGTTTAGATAATATGAAATCTTTGTCAATTCTCATTATCATAGTTAACGCGATAATATCCTGTCAAATAGTAAATAAATTTTATCATTGTTTATTGTTTTGAATAATCTTATCAGAATATATTTTCAAATATTTTTATTTTATATTTTTGTTTATATAAATTATAAATAAAGAACGTACAAAAAATTTAATATGAATAAAATAGATATTAAATATTATTAAATACTATATATCTTTAATTTTATATAATTTTATTGATGTTTTTTAATAAATATGCAATATGCATAGTTAATATATGTTATTTATACCTCAAAGCATGTCTAACTTTTTTAAATTTATACTTTTTTCTTTTTTTGTGCACTGTCTTAAAAGTTATCTAATATATTAATAATATATTATTAAATCTTTTAATTTATTTAATTTTTTCTTATATGCGGTCAGACAGATTAAGTCTGCGCTATGGGGAATATACACCACAGTTTTTTTTTTAATTGTGTTTTCCCTTAAACTTTTTTAAATTTTGGTACTAATTTCGAAAAAATCAGTCAATAAATGTGTGAGTGCATGAGTGAATGCTTAAATGCATGGGTGGGTGTGTAAAATTTAATGAAACTACCATCGTCCCCAAAAATTTTCAAGATTTTGGTACCAAAAATAAATCAATATATGTGTGAGTGCGTGGGTGGAAGTTTTACATACAAGATTTTTTTTATAATGGATCTCATATATTATTTGTGACATACAAGGTGACATACAAATGAATTTCTTTTCGAATACCTGTGCTGTCTGGGCGTGCAAATATACATATATGTATTATACATGTACGCAAAGATATGATTTAATTTGTGCGAAATGTTTATAATATTTAATAGATATTAAAGTTTCATAACTATTTATTAATCATAATTTATTTTTAAATAATGTATAAAATATATATTTTTGAGAAATATATAATTAAATTTTTCGAACTATATATATGTTTTATATTTTTTTAAAATGACTAACATGTATTATTTATATGAAGCCAATATAATTGCATTCATTTAATATTTACCTTAAGATTTCCATGTTTTTCTTTCAATACTGAAAAAGAAGTACTGAGCATGTATTCCAAAGCTTTAAACATAGGATACCAAGCTATGTAATCTTTTTCTCGTTTCAGATACAATATAATATCCCAAAATATAGATGGATAGTGTTTAGATAATATGAAATTTTTCGCCAATTTTTATCATCATAGTTCACGCGATAATATCCTGTCAAATAGTAAATAAATTTTATTAATTTTTATTTTTCTAAATAATTATATCAGAAATATTTTTAAATATTTTTGTTTCATACTTTTGTTTATATAAATTATAAATAAAGAACGTACAAAAAATTTAATATGAATAAAATACAAATATATATGTAAAATTATTTATAAAAATGTCATCCTAATACTTGGAATAGTAGAAAAAATGAAGCAAATATATTGTGAAGCAAAGATAATGTGCAAGATATTTTTGTATATCATAAAATAAAATTAATTTTATAAATATATTTATCCTTTTTTAATAATTTTGTTATTATTAGAATACAATGTTTATAAAAATATAAATATAGGAAATAATAAAAAGAATAAAAATTATTTCAAAAATTACTTTAAAAAATAACAAATCATAAAACAAAAATTAAAGAACAATAAATATTAATATTGAATGATGTTATTTAGAAAACGCCTACGTATATTTTAAATATAATATTATATATATATAATAATGCAGAATATGACACAAAGTATTTTAAAACTATT